GTGGCACCCAGCTGAGGGAAAGACCCCTCCCCTGCTCCTCCTTCCTGCTCCTCTCCCCTTGTGGGCTCCTGGAGCCTACCCCACACAGACTCCCATTCTATTTCCCCTGAAGGTTGGGTCCACCCTCACCCCCACCACAGCCAGGGGGCCTCCCCTAAATCCCTGGTGGGCAAAAGGGTTCTTCCTTTGCGTGTAACTAAGCAGGCTGGCCCACAAAGCCCTCTGTGCCTGTAACTCATGGGCTATGTTGCCCTCTCTCCCCTGCAGGCAGGAGCCCAGCAGCAGCCTGGTGAGCCCAACATGCTCAACTGTCCCCTCTGTCCCCACCCAACCTCCACCCAGGGAAAGTCTGACCCTCAGGTACCCACACTCCTCAACAGCTATGGTGTCTGGAGCCATTATCTGGAGAAGAGAGGAAGGAAATGAGAAATACTTCAGCAATCAGAGCAAGCTACTGACAGCATCCATGGAGTACAACCCAGGAGTTTCCTCACAGGAGAATCCTCACTGTATCCCCTGCCTACGTGTTCTGTGACACTGTGTGCGTGCTCACGGCATCCTGGGGCGCTTTGCACACAGCCCCTTACCACTCAGTGCAGGGGTGAAGAGCCCTGTGCACCCATGCAATCCCTGCGGAAGCCACAGATCTGACCCACAATGGGCTGACTATGGTTGCTAGCAAGCCATGGTGTCAAGTCCATGTATATGGAGCACTCGCCCTGGGCCGGGAACTCACCACAGACAGACACACAAAGGGGACATGATCCTGATCCTGGGTGGAGGGAGGCCAGATGAGTAGGTGAGCAAGGTGGTGGGCCGTGAAGGGGGTCTTGCAGGATGTTTCAGGAGCCCAGGGAGAGAGCGGAGTGGCAGAGAGGGCAGAGGAGGGGGGTGTTCTGGGTGGACAGGGCAATGACAGAGGCTCTGCAAGCAGGCCAGGGGGCAGAGAGAAGGCAACCCCAGAGGTGGGAGAGCATGAGCAAAGACCCGGAGGTGAGAGGCTGCCTGGCTTCCCTGCCCAGCACTTGGGCCTCCAGCACCGTGGGGAAGAAGGCACAGCACTCCTGTTGATGAGCCCCTACTGTGTGCCAGCCACAGGGGGGCAGGAGAGCTTAGGGGGCGAGGACACGGCCTCCAGAAACAGGCCTGGCTCGGAAGTGCCACTCCAACCCTGACAAGCTCTGATGTAGGAAAGCACGTAACTCGCAGCCTCTGTTTCCCCGTCTCAGCACAGTGGGGATGATGACAGTCCTGTCCCCCAGGGTGCTCTGAGGATTGCAACAGGAGCTCCTGAGAGAGAGCTCCACCCACTGCCCATGCACACAGGCTGTGCTCCCCGGACGTGAGTGCCCGCATGTCCTAGGCCTCAGGGAGCCACTGCCAGCCATCCTGCCTCCATCCACCTGGGCTGGGGCCCAGGAACCTGTATTCTCAACAAACCCTCCCCCAGTGATCCATCCGGAGGCAGGAAGCCTGAAGGCCACACTTTAAGAAACATCTACTCACTACTGGGTATTTACCCCAAAGATACAAAAGTAGGGATCCGAAGGGGTACGTGCACCCCGATGTTTATAGCAGCAATGTCCACAATAGTCAAACTGTGGAAAGAGCCAAGATGTCCATCGACAGATGAGTGGATAAAGAAGATGTGGTATATATATACAATGGAATATTATGCAGCCATCAAAAGGAATGAGATCTTGCCATTTGCAACGACGTGGATGGAACTGGAGGGTATTATGTTGAGTGAAATAAGTCAAAAAGAGAAAGACATGTATCATATGATCTCACTGATATGAGGAATTCTTAATCGCAGGAAACAAACTGAGTGTTGTTGGAGTGGGGGGTGGGGTGGGAGGGATGGGGTGACTGGGTGATGGACACTGGGGAGGGTATGTGCTCTGGTAAGCGCTGTGAATTGTGCAAGACTGTTGAATCTCAGATCTGTACCTCTGAAACAAATAATGCAATATATGTTAAGAAAAAAAAAAAAAAGAAGAAGAAGGTAGCGGGAGGGGAAGAATGAAGGGGGGAATCGGAGGGGGAGACGAACCATGAGAGACGATAGACTCTGAAAAACAAACTGAGGGTTCTAGAGGGGAGGGGGGTGGGAGGATGGGTTAGCCTGGTGGTGGGTATTGAGGAGGGCACATTCTGCATGGAGCACTGGGGGTTGTGCACAAACAATGAATCATGGAACACTTCATCTAAAACTAATGATGTAATGTATGGGGATTAACATAAGAATAAAATTTAAAAAAAAAAAAAAGAAAGAAACACCTGCTCAGTAAATGCTTCTTGCTGAGGTCATGCATTTGTGTCATCTTCTTTGATCCTCTGGACAGCCCTGCAGAGTGTGGACGAGTAACCTATTTCACAGGTAAGGAAAGGCTCAGAGAGGTACATCAGCTGTTCCAGGTCACTCAGCAATGAGAGGCCAAGGTAGGATTTGAACCAGGTCTGTAGCTCTCCAAGGACAGCATCACAGGGCCAAGCCCCCAGGCAGCTGTCGTCCTGGCAGAGGCTAGGTAGGTGTCCCAAGGCCCCCCTGCTACACTCCCCAGCCCACCCCACCGCCCCCACGGTCGCTTCCTCCTCCACTGCTAATCAGGTCTCACAGACCATCCCGTTTCCTGCCGGCCCCCCCGGCTGCCTCCTTTGCTCCCGATGGCACTTCCTGGCCTTGTGCCCTCGCAGCACCTCCTCTGCCTGCAGAGGGGTTGGAGCAGAGGCTGGGTGGTGGCAGATATGGGGCATGAGATCCCCAGGGGCCCCAAGAGGCACTAGCCCTCCTCCTGTGGCCTGGACTACCTCTGCACAGAGACCACATCCCTGCCCCAGGGGCACAGGCCTGAATGGCCATCCCCTTGTTTACAGACCACAGGAACTGCAGGCTTCAGGGCAGAGTCGACTTCCCCGTGGACTGCGAGGACAAAGGGAATTGGCAGATGGTTCCAAGACAGACCCTGTCCCCATATGCCACCAGCGCCAAGTCCGAGACCCAGCAGGAAGTAAGGCCAGGCCCAGCCTGGCCCCGTGGGCACGCAGACCACACAGCAGGCAGTCGACGTAGGCTAAGGGGGTGCGGGGCCGGGAGAATCGGGCCGAGGGACCAGAGACAGAGTGCTGGCCTGTCCTGGCTCCTCTGGGGCCTCCCTCACCCTCCGGCAGGGGAAGGCAGAGTTAAGCCTGCTGGAGAAGAAAACAAGAAAATGCTGCGCCTTTGTTTGTTCATTCCGCCGAAAGTGATGGAATGTGCTGGATGCTGTGCAGAGGCCCGCCTCAGGACCGTCCTCCTTCCACAGGTCACTCTTCCCCCTCTAGCATCATTTGGCCTCCCCATCTGCTGGAAGTCCCCTCAGCACAAACGTAGCTTTAAACACACACACACACACACACACACACACACACACAGAAAACCTTCCATTTCTTGCTCCCGTTCACTCTAAGTCTCAGGAAGGAGCTGTGATCACACACATCTCCCCCCTTCATCCCCCTTCGCTGGCCCCTCTCATCTGCCTTGTCTTCTCCGTTCCATTTAACCTGTTCTGCCCACAATGGCCCATGACTTCCAGCTTCCAAATCCACCCTCCCCTCACCCAGGCTGACCCAGCTGATACCCTGTCCTCATCCTCGCCTACTGTCCATAGCCCTGCTCTCTCCCAGCTTTCCCCCTTACCGGCTGGGCTCTCCTAGAAGATCTACAAATCTAGGAGGCTGGGGTCTCCCTCCAGGTAAGTCCATCCAATCCCAGGACCTCAGGTAAATAAGCCATAAATAAGTTCAAGGTTTCTGAACCTCATCTCTAGGCCACCTGTATCCACCCCTCTCCATCTGCCAACCTGGCATCACCACCTGGGGGTCTAAAAGCCATCTCTAACTCGACGTGCCCAAAACAGAGAAATTTCTACCTCCCCTTCCCAGAAAATATTCTTCCACCCTGTTCCCCATCTCCGTACTCCTGTCTGAAGGCTGTCCAGAGCACTCCTGGGCAAGAGGCTCCCTCTCTCAGGTCTCTGTTTGCCCAGTCCTATAAAGGAACAAGTTCGGGGCTTCCCAACCACTCACCCATGGGAAAACAGAGGCAACCATTCAGAGGACGGATTCCCACTGCTCACCCTGAGAGATTCCAAATCAGCTGAGCTGGAGTAGGGCCCCGGTATCTGCAGGTTACAAAAACTCCTCCTATGACTCTTAAGGTTCACAGAATCTGATCCCCTCCTGCCCCCAGGTGCTTGGTTCGGATGGACTGATCCCACCTTCAGCTTCATTTTGACTCTTGTTTATCTCAACAGCCATGTGAGGTTGAGGCTCTGATTATCCCCATCTACAGATGAGGAAACTCAGTATCGGGTCACATGACTGGCCCCACAGTCACATCAGAAGCAGAGCTAGGGCACTTGACTCCACCAGATATTCCCACACTCAAATGCCCCCCACAAGCCCCAGCTGCTACCTTAGAGCTAGAACCCATGCCCGCCCCTACCAGGGAGAAGCCAATCTGGCCCTCCAGAGCCAAGAGCTGCTGCCTGTTTCCTATCTCCCACCCAGCCACCCCCAAAAGCCCTGAAGCCTCCCCATCACCTGCAAAGTCTGCCCCTCTCTCAGCATGTCATGGGTCACCTCGGAAGATCTGGCTCCAGGGCCGGGCTGACCCAGGCTGGATCTCTTGCTCTGTACACCCCAGCTGGGTAAAGAAGCACCTTAAACTTAGAGTCTCAGTGCCCTGAGCTATAAAATGGGAGTGATGACACCTACCCTGAGGGTTACAAGGAGGATGAACTAAGGACCCTGGCGGGTGCCAGGCCCAGAGCCCCAGAGCTGAGGCCTGGGGTCAGGGTGTGAGTTGAGCATCCCAGGCCAGATCTAGGCCTAGCGCTCTGTGGGGGTAGCCTGGCCAGGCCAAGGCAGCCGCCCACCACAGAGCCTGCCTATCTGCAGCCAGCCTGGCCCTCACAAAGGAACAATAACAGGAAGCCATCCCAGGGGGAAGTGGGCCAGGGCCAGCTGGAAAACCTGAAGGGGCGGCAGCCAGGCCTCCCTAGTCGGCCGGGTGTGGCTCTCCTCGAGAGGCTATCGGCAGAGCTCCACAAACTCCACAGCAACTCAGCCCCAGACGGACAGTCTGACGGAACGAAGACACCTCTCAGCCCACGAGCACGGTGAGTGACAAATCTCTGCGCCCCACTCCATCCCAGACCACGCTGTGAGGGTGCTCGGCTTCCCTGGGTATAGAGCGGTGGTTGTCGGGGTCCCAGGGAAGAGCCATTCCTTGGGGGCAGACCGGGTCTCCTCCTGGCTCAGAGCAGGGCCAGGAGAGTATGCCTAGTGGTGGTGCCACAGACACAAATGGGCATTCTCAGGACTGGGGGGGAAGGACTAGGCTCTTCCACATGGAGACTCTCCAACTGTGTGTGGCGTGAAGGCCCCTTGCCATGATCAGAGAGGGAAGGAGTCTGTCTGAGTTGCCAGCACAGCAGAGGCAGAGGACCGGCACCAGGCCTAGTCTCCCCTTGCGTGGTCCCAAGGCCTGACATCGTCCCTCCTGCCCAAGTTCTGTGCTGGTATTGGGAGAGGAGCCCTGGAAGGGGAGCTCTGAGCCCCAGGCCCTCTCTGTCAGCCAGTGCCCCCATTTTTAGAATAGGCAAGCTGAGGCTTGTCTCTGAGCACCTAAGGCCCTGCCTATGGATCCCTCCCCGCCCTGCCCTGGACACTGCGGGGGCCAGGTTTGAGCCATGGGAGCTATAGTCAGATGCCCCGAGGTTGGGACCCCAGAGCCCTCATATTTTAGGGAAGTCCCCCCAAAAGAGTTGAAGGCAGGCAGTTTAAGGTGAGATCCCCAGATCTCCCAATCCTTCCCATGTTGCTTTGGGGAAATTACTCAGCACCTCTAAACCTCCACGCTCTCGTCTGAACAATGGAGACAGGGACTCGTTGTGCAAGTGGTTATGGGAACTGAAGGTGATAGGATAAAAGGTTCTGTCTGACGGAGCTCATGACTCTACTACTGCCAACGAATCCATGAGTTTAGATGCGTCCTTTCTCCGTTCTTCAGGGGAGGCAACTGAGACTGGGCGAAGTAAGAGCGGGAGTGGGGATCTGAACCAGGATCGGCACCCCAAAGCCCAGACTCTTGCCAGTGCCAAAGAGTTGCTCCATGTCTCAGCTTTCTCATCTGTGAGCCAGAGGAAAGCAGTCTTTTCATGAGTCAATGAAAGGAGATGGTGTGCACACCCAGTCCCGGCACCAGGAATGGCTCACGGGAGGGGGGCCTTCAAGAAATCACAGCTGACTGTCGCCGCCACCCCAGAGCTGTGAATGTCGTAAGGTTTTTGACCCCTGAGGTCAGTGTGTCCTCCACAGGTGGGGGGGCGGGGGGATGCAAGGGAGAGGATGTGGACTTAGCTCTTCCTCTGGCAAGCACTCCAGGCCGAGCTTGTTCCCTACCCCGCGGACGATGCTGCTGTGTGAAGGGGACACACAGGATCCCCCAGGGGATGAAGGGCACTCTGGGGGAGGCAGGAAGCCTGGGCCGCTCAGAGGACTTAGGGAGGCTGCCGTGGCCACAGGGATTTTTAGAGCAGGAAGTGCCAGGAAGGCTAGCGACACTGAAGGCCCCAGTTGCCAGGACCAGGGGCTCTGGCCCCCCGTCAGGTGGTGGGGAGCAGCGGAGACCAGCCCTCTTTGGGCCCCAGTCTGGGGGGCAGCAGGTGATCTCCAAGGGGCCCAGCAGCTGCTAAGCGGCCCCCCGGCAGCCCTGCCAATTCCTGCTTACCATTGCAAGGCAGTAGAAGAGGCATGCACTGGCCTCGCAGGGGTTAAGCTGCCCACCCTGCAGCTTCAACCTGACCGATTGTGCTGCAAACAAGAGCCGGACATGGGGGCAGGAAACCAGAGGGGCCACACGTATTTTCTTCCCAAGTTGGCTGACTCACGGCTCTGCTGCTGCCTCAGGGACACAAGGTGAACACAGCTGCCACTCGCTCTAGAAAAATCTTGGGCTTCTCGCCTACGGGGATCTATCCCAGTTACTTCCACACCTCTCCCCACCCCCTCAGCATCCTTGAAGCTACTAAAAGAATTCCCATTTGACAGAGGGGACCGCGGATGCTGGATGCTGAGAGAGACCAAGCCGCCAGTCCCAGGTTACACAGTGAGCATGAGATGGAAGCAAAATAGGGAGTGAGGCCAGCCCTTTCAGACCCCATAGCCCCACCACACTCCATAGTGAAGCTCGGAGCGGGGAAAAGTCAGGGAGGGTTGAACCTGACAGTTTAAGCCACAGAAGCGGGCACGAGGAGCCAAATGATCCTGGAAGGAATGTTCTAAGAGACAGGTCCTGCCCTGAGGAGCTTGGCTTCTGGCTAGAGATACTAAAATGTCCACCCTAACCCAAGTCCACGTGGATGCTGGGTGGAAAAATACCAGAAGGCTTCCTGGAGGAGGAATACTGAGAGGCCTTAGGTCTGCTCTGACCTTCAGTCCTCGAATCTCTCTAGGGCAGGGGATGGACCAAATGGTCCCTAAACTCATTCAAGGACCTCCAGTTTGTCTGTCTTGGGACACAGTAACAGTCAGATCCGGCCAGGCACAGATACTGGGAGGAGGGGAAGCAGGGACCCCAGGGCCAGGCAGGCAGCGAACGCGATTTCCTTCTGGAGAGGAACAGAGGGGTGTAGGAGGTGGGCCCAGGGCAGAACCAGGAAATGAAGTCAGGTGTGAGTTGGCCAGCCCAGCCCACAGCCATCAGGCTGGAGTGGGTGGGTACATAAGAGTCAAGACACCTGCATACCTACTGAGCACCAACTGTATACCGGGTTTCACACCGATGATCTCAAATGAGATCCTCCTGACCAGCAAGGCAGCTACTGTTGCCTCCATTATAGATGAGGGAGCTGGGGTTCAGAGAGGCAAGGGATGGGCCTAAGGCCACACAGCTCTTGAGCAGCTGGGCCAGTACAAAGAGGCAGGTATGTGGGGCTCATTCTGTTGCTCCCAATGACTGTCTCAGAGCCTCAGTCGAAGTCAGGAAGCCCAAAGAAGACTGGAAAAGGCTCCCTGCTGGGGGTGAGGGTGTTCTCTCCTTGAAGCTTGGAGCTGCCCCCATTAGAAAACAAGGGGTAGACTGGATGATCCTAGAGCCCAGACACCCAACACAAAATTATTTGAAATCACAAACTAGGCCTGGTGAATTGTTACTATCTACTTGTAAGATTGTACTGAAGATTGAGGGACTGAGTTCAAGTTCAATGGGAATAAATACTGGGATACTGTGATCAGTGAGGTCTACCAGGGGTATGGAAAGGGGTGAGTGACACCCTGGGAGCTCGGTCCGGCCAGGCCTACATAAAAGGTTCCTTGCACAGGGACAGGCACGTGTTCGTCAGAGTATAACCTTGTCGTCCTCCAAGAATCAAAATCCTACTGGTGGTATGTCTGATATGATGGGCCATTCAAGATGCTATTTGGGGGGCGCCTGGGTGGCTCAGTCGTTGGGCGTCTGCCTTCGGCTCAGGTCATGATCCCAGGGTCCTGGGATCGAGCCCCGCATCGGGCTCCCTGCTCTGCGGGGAGCCTGCTTCTCCCTCTCCCACTCCCCCTGCTTGTGTTCCCTCTCTCGCTGTGTCTCTCTCGGTCAAATAAATAAGTAAAATCTTTAAAAAAAAAAAAAAAAAGATGCTATTTGGGGACAAGGAGGAGATTCTCTTGAGCTATACCAAGGATTGCATCTGCTCTGACCACCCAAGGTCTTGCCTGTGAATACGCAAATTTGTGTTTTAAATCCTGCAAGTGAGGAGGGAAGCAGTGACAAGACCAGAACTGGAGACTGAGGCAGGCTGACAGGCAGCAGTGGAGACACTGACACCTCAAGGTCCAGGGCCTTGAATTCATGCAGCAGGATGCTGGGACCAAGTGGAGACCTAGGTCCAAAACCCGCCTGGTCAGAGACACTCAGGCCAGGAGGCAGAGGCTGTGCTAGGGGCAGGAGTCAATCAGAAGACCTCGTCAAGGAGGCAGCCCGGGGCTTGAAAAGAAGTAGAGCATTCACCCAGGGGACACAGCAAGAAAGGGCATCCCACGCAGAGGCAACAGCCTGTGCAAAGAGCCTGCTGGAGAGAGGAAGAGCAATGTGCATTCCAGAAATGTCTAGCTCTCCTCATGGATGGAAGGGGCAGGGAGAGAGAGGAGAGGAAAGCCAGCGGGATGGGCAGGGGCCATGCCATGCTGGGCCCTGAAACCAGGCTCAGGAGTCAGGCTTCATCCTGCTGGGGGTGGAGAGCCAAGGAGGAATGGTCAGCAGGGGAGCAGCATGGTCAGCAAGAAGGGGCCTCAAAACAGGGAAGCTACTGGCAGAACCCCAAAGGAAGGAGATTAGGTCTGGGACCCACAAGAGCAGGTCCCTACCCTGAATTGAGCCACAAACCAAGAGAAAGCCCCAAGGGGCCAGTTAATAGCTGCCCAATCCTGCCCCCCAACACACCCCATGCCAAGGGCCTCCTAGGGCCTCACCCTTCATCCTCCCAGTATCTCACAGCTGTCAAGGCCCAGTGGTAAATGCTGGGGATCAAGTGGACAATGTGGGAGTCTGGGGATCACTGGCTCCAATCTCTGTCCCAGACTGAGAAGCTCAAGGTGGTGGGGTGGGAAAGCAGTGAGGAGAGCCACTCAGGGCCACACAAGGAGCGGGGGCTCCAGCACTTGCCCTTCCCACAGGCACAGCCCCCACATGTTCTGGGCTTTTCCTCCCAAAGCCCAGCCCTTAATCCCTGACCCAGGGCCTCTGGGCTAGAGTCCAGAGCCCGTGGGAGGTTGGGCTGGGACTGATCGTCCTGCCCGCCCTCTGAGGCTTTGCCTGGAGCTGGGTTCAGCTGCCAGATCTTGTCCCGGCTGGTGGAGGTGTACTGCGTGGGAGCGGAGAGGGCAGATGAGTGGGGACAGGGGTGTGTACTGTGTACTTATGCAGACACCGTTGATGGTGTTGTGTGTCCATGTGGTGTGAGAATGTCATGTGTGTATCCCTGACCTGCAAGCTTCTTCTACCCCACCCCAAAGGGCCCTCCAACCTGCCTGATAACACCTTCAGGCCTAGACTCAGCCCCTGAAACCTCAGGTTTGAGCAGGGCTCTGGTCAGGTCAAGGAGCAGAGGTCTGCTGGTACTGG